CCTTGAATAAACAGGCGCTTGATAGACCATTCCGTTGAGCCGCAATAGAAGAAGAGAAGGAAGAAGCTAAGGTTTAGTTTAGGACTGGTAGGTCCGATTTGTGAATAATATGTAGTCCTATAAATATCACATTTGCTCGAAAAAATCGTTTTGAACATGTAAGAGTTCTAAAATTCAGTGTCAGAAGGTCCAATTAAGTCCCCAAAAAATATATTTGCCTCTTTCTTCTCTTCTTCGTTTTAGGCTCAACGGAATGGTCAATTGAGACGTTGGTGACCACTACTACCCACCAGTGCGGCTCGATGCCGGCGTCCTCGCAAGTGCGCGTCTCGGGCGCCACCAGGAACATGGAGACAGCCCTGGGCAGGCTCTTCTTGTCGTGGTCCAGGCGGGACAGCATCTCGGCCCGCTCCTTGACGGCACGTTGCTCGAGACGAGACAGGTCCATCAGGTCCTCTAGGGTGGCGTGCAGGTCGTAGGGCGTCACCAGCCGTCGGCTGTTCCGCCTGAGGTTGGCCACCGCCGAGGGGTAGCGCTCTCGCAGCCAGCGCGGCAGAGAGATCTGCGGGCAGGACACTGGGTGTGCACATTGTTTCTATCCAGAGGGCGATCTTGGTCATCCCTTTCATCGCCAAGAGCTTCTCACCATGAGGAATGGCAGCCTCTCCTCCAGGCGGCCCTGGTATGTCTCCCGGATGTCGCCCCATCGGATGCCGTGGTCGCTGAGGAAGACGACGACACTCTTGTCCAGGACGCCGTCGGCCATCGCTGTCCGCAGCCAGCTGGCGTACAGCGGGTCGGCGAGCTGGGGGGTGTTGAGCTGGTCGTGCGTCAGGCTGACGCCCCAGAACAGGCCGAAGAGCGGCTCGGCCAGCGGGGCCAGCGCGAGGCGCGCGAACCGCGCGGCGTAGTCCAGGAGTGCCTGCAGCTGGAAGCGCGGCCCAGTGCACAGGTGGCAGTTGAACTCCTGATGACTGCCCAACTGTATGAAAGGGAATTAATCAAATTGGAATTTAAGAATTTTATCGAGAGGCGCTGTCAGTTTCAGTTTGTTCCGCTCCCACAAGTGATATGACAGAAAATGTGGAATAAATCTTACTGAGCATTACGAAAACAAGTAGATATTGTTAGACTATCCCGTTTCTGACCAGTTGAGGGAAATAGATAGACAAAACTCCCAGGCGGCCTCGTGCCTTTGCTCACCTCCTTGAGCAGCAGCCTGGCGTAGGGCCGCATGTAGTAGTGGACGGGCTGGCGGACGAAGCCGTTCTTGATGTAGTTGAAGATGCCCATCCAAGGCTCGTCCTCGGCGTAAGCCGTCCGGTATCCCAGCGCCTCGAAGCGCTTCCAAAGAAACGGGCAGTCGTCGAAGGGCGTGTAGGCGGTCGGCCAGCAGCGGTTCCGGAGCTCTGGGACGGACATGCCCGCCAGCACTGCCACCAGGTTGGGGAATGTGTTGTCCTCTACTTTGTTGTAGCCTAGCATGTCTATGGCGCCGATCTCCCGGAGCGCCTTGACCGTCCTGGGCATCTGTCTCAGCAGGTTGCTCCTGGACACCGAGTCGGCGCCCACCACGAGGACGGACACCTTGGGCGTGTCGGGGTCCACCACGTCCTCCACGTCGTTGTCCTGCTCGGCGCGGCCCAGCCTCGCGGCGGCCTTGGGCGGCGTGAAGCCAAAGACGTCGTGGTAGAGGATGCCGTCCGACTCCATGCCTCGCTCGTAGCACTCGACGCGGACGAACTCGTCCGACACCGCCAGCTCGTCGCCGTCCACTGGGAACTCGGTGCAGTTGTCCGCAAACCTGGAAAAGCCGAACAGGTACGTTATTGCCCTTTCACCATTCTCTAAAAGAGCTCTGAACAGAGGCGGGCTGGTGGGCTTCTCTCCACACTCACTCGATGGCGTCATCCACGCCCCGGAACTCGGCATGGTCCTCGTCCTGCGCACCGGTGGGCGCCGCGCGGTGGACGTGCGGCTCCGGCCTCCAGAAGGCCCCGGTGCAGCACGTCAGGCGCGCGGGGTCGCTGATGTTGTAGTGGGGCGCGCGGTCGCGGCGCAGGCGCAGCACATTCCGGCGCGGGTCCGCCTCCACCAGGGCGGGGCCGGCGTCCTCGCAGTCGACCCGCTTCGCCGGGAACACGAACTGGCGGACGGCCTCGTCGAGGGGCGCGAGGAACGGGATGCGGCATCCCGGCGTGTCGACGAGGAAGCCGCTAGACGCCTCGGGCGCCGCCGTGGGCTCTGGGGATGGGGAGGATGCTGGTCAATTCAAAAGATTTCTCTTGTTTTCTGTTTCAGTTTGACAGCCCGCCAGCGTACCTGTGCGCGTGGACGCGGTGGTCTTGGACGCGGGGGCGGCGCCGGTCCTGGACGCGGTCAGCTCCTCGAGGTTCGCGCGCAGCCCCAGGCGCAGCCCCAGGCGACCGCGCACGGCGCGCGGGTCGAGGCAGCAGAGCAGCAGGAGCAGCGCTAGCACGGGCAGCAGCAGCAGCCATCGCCGGCCCAGCAGAGAGCCCCAGGGCGGCCCCATCAAACCTGGACAACGGGTAAACAACAGGCAAACTTTTAATTATTTCATAGTATATCAGCCACCCACCTGCGGTACGGTACGGCACAGGTCCACCACTACAACTGCACGACGCACATGGAGTGCTTCGCGGCGTGGTGTACTGCCGGTCGAATGTCTTTCCCCAGGCACGTACTGTACTGTGTTCGGCTGCAAGGGCGTCCTCGGGTGTCCACACCGTCACTTCCTCTTCCTCCTCCTCACCCCGTCCCACGCCCTCGCTCTCGCGGTCCTCAACACTCACTCCCTACCCCTGCCGCGCCCCTCTCCTCCCCACATCGATCCAGCCCAACCCTCAGCATCTCGGGGCTCTGGCTCCAGGCTGACGCGAGGGAGAAGGGAAGGGGGGTGGGGGTGGAGGAGAGATCGGTATACCTAGCAGGACGCTCTTCCCGATGCAAAGCTTGGATTCGCGCTGCTGACTGATTTGGCGCATTCGTGACAGGGAATGTGTTTGTGTGTGTGGGGGGGGGGGGGGTCAGAGGTTGCGCCGTAGCTGTGGGGCCGCCGAGGTCGGCCAGCAGGACAGGACTAACAGGATAATCGGCATGGAAGCCCCCGACCAGCCCAGGCCGGCACGGCCTACAACACGGGCAGGGCCGGCAGGGCCGGCAGGGCCGGCAGGGCCGGCAGGGCCGGCAGGCCGCCAGCCCCACGCGGCCGTGCGGCACTGGCGTCTCAAACCTCAAACTCACTTCGGAGAGGGGTATTGGGTCTGGCGTCACACCGCACACACACGCCGAGCAGAAATAGTTTTGTCGATGCCAATATCCGCCAGCGCCACCCGCAAGATATTTTTGATTACCCCTCCATTGTGCTCCTGTCCCTGCACGCCCCCTCTCCCCCTAGCCCCGTACATGGTCTTGTGTCTCAGTGTCCAATCGATACATCGAAAATTCGCTTCTGTAGCTAATGGTTTATAGTCGGCAGCAAGTGTTCTGTTGCCACAACGAAGTTCGTCGGCCAAGCGGCCGATTGTTCGTGCACCTTCTTCAAAACAAGAGTTATTGCCTACTGAGCGGCGAGCTTCGTTGCGGCAGCTGACATTTGACTCTGGCAACATATTGGTATAGTTACCACAGTGAATTTTCCATCAAATGGCGCCGAACTAACCAATTTTGAGTGCTGTCGGGCGCTGTTGTGCTGGGAGCTGCGCTTGCGGATGTGGAGCGGCCCCAGGTGCATCGCGCACTAATCAGCTTACAGCTAGGAGCAAGGACGCTCCTCGAGCATGGGAGGGGTGAGACGGGGGCCATGGCAGCGGGGCGGGGGCTCTGAGCCTCCAACCCCACACACCACCCCGGGGAGCGGACTGCAAAGGTGATGGGCTGGTACTCGGCCAAATCTGGAGCGACGCCAAAAGTGTAAAGGGTCCGTGCTGTCGGGGGCGGGGCGGGGCGGGGCTGGAGGCGGCGCGTCTCATTGATCGCCAAGGCGGTGGCACGGACCGGTACTGCGGGGCGGGGCGGGGCGCGGGGCGCACAGGACGTGACAACATGTATCGCCCCTTTACCCACCTCCGGCACCCACCTTTTAAACGGCTGCTGCGTGTGCTGCGGCCTCAGTGCCTGCGCGCCTGGGGCGGCCCGGGTAGGCAACCCGACGGCCCGCCTGCTCAACGGGACTGCCTACCCAGCGCGCCCGGCCCGCCTCCGCCGCCGCCGCCGGGGACCGCAGGGGACGTCACGCCCTAGCCCAACGCGCGCCGTCACCCCGCTCTGCGCAACATTGGAGTTGTTTCCACGTCCTGACAAAGTCGGCAATGCCTGTTTATCACCAGGCCATGGCGTGGCGTGGCGCGCGCGGTCTGGTGCAGTGCAGATTCCAGCAGTAGACTTCCACCGATAAGCGGCCCGCGGTATGCCCACCCAGACCGCGCACTGGTTTCACTTTTGCACAGCACACTGCTTTATTGACATGCAACTATATTTTTGGGGTTGCGGTGGTTGGCGTGAGGAAAGTGGGCTGCACCCCTGCTCGAGTTCCCGGCAGGCAGCCGCGCCCTTCCTCATCCGGGCCGGAAGGAGGTCCATCCAGAGAGAGCCATCTCCTCTCCTCCCCGACTCCACGATCCACCCGCGCGTCGCGACGCCACTACTTACCAGAAGTGTGCGCTCCCTCATAGTGGGAGTCTTGTTGTCGTCCAGGTCCAAGGCGGACGGACCCGCCCCAGCGCTCGCGTGCTCCGCGTCCCGGGCGCTACATGGCGGCCAGGCGGCCAGCGTCCAGCATCCAGCATCCCCTGCGGGGCGCGCGGGGGTTTGTGAACCGGTGCCCGAGGACCACCAGGTTGGCGCCAGGCGGGAGTGCGGCTGGGCTGGGCGGCTCGGCAGCGAGATCCAGGACCGCCCACCGCGCTCGCCCACCGCTGACTGCCCGTGTCAGCTCCACGCCCCACCCCTCCCACCCCCTTCCAGCCGGGGGGTGGCGCTGCGCGGCGTGGTGGAGGGGGAGGCGCGACCTCTCCCACTCGCTCGTCCTCTTTCTCTGCCCATCCCCCGCCCCCGAGCCCCGATCCTCTCTCCCTCTCAATCTTTCTCTGTCTCACCGCCACCCCAGCCCACTTGGGGCTGACTTGACAGTTGAACTCTCCCCCACCCCTCTCCCTAACTTGTAAATTTGAACCTCAGCCCTCTTGAACGTGGGAATGCGTTTGCCATCTGCGGTCTGAAATGATTTCAGCGAAATTTGAACGGGGGTTCTAGCATAATTTGCTGATTTTGGTGTGCTCGCTCCTCGCTCGTGTCAGTGAGTAGTTCGACTGTCTCATTACAGGCCGATCGTCCTGTTTTCTTTCTCCTTGACACACCGGGACAAAGTTAGTACATATGCCTGACCCCCTCAACTGGTGTTGAGTCCTCTTCTCCCATGCTAGAAGGGTTTTCTGGAATAAAGTTGTCACAATCTTAATTTCTACATATACGACTTTTATTAATTTTCCTAATTTTTACAAGAAATTAACAATTTGGCAGTGGAGACAGACATTTATTTTGTACAAAATAAAATTGACGTAGCACCAGAATCAACAGTAACTTTATGCACTAGATTTTATATTAAAGATCACTTTTGCTCAAAGTTAATTTACACTTTCATTACATGTATAATACATGTGCGGACACAGAAAACAACACATATAAAACATACATTAATAACTCACTAAAATATTTGGTACAGAGATAAATTAAATATATGACTGACTTTGTAATCTGATGAAACGGCAACAACTCTATAAGTAAAATAATGTGACAGATGATTTTTTTAAAGCAGAATAGGAATGTTACAAAAGCAGAATTGCTATGGCCGGGCAGAACATTGAGCTCAGCTCATAAGTACAATTGATATTTTGGCGCAAACGCACTATGGCACAGAAGAACAGGGCGTTAGCGACCTCTCTATGGATTGCTAGGTGGAGACAGCCCTTGTTTGAAAATAAGCGGTTGATATTAAAATGCTTTGTTGGCTTAATTTCAGTGAAGTGCAGGCGTTCCTATTCTAATATTCAATAGAATGAGTAAAGTGATCTGTAGAGGGTGGTCGGCCATCATCAGGTTGTACTTA